ACTGGAGTTCAGACGTTTGCTCTTCCGATCCCCCAAAACCCCAAAACCCCATCTTAGTTAAAAAAGTTAATTTCAAAAGTAAAGTGATATTCAATATCAATTTATATCTAATTAATTAAGGATCTGTACTTTATTGATAATTGTTCATTTTAAGATTATGAATTAAGGGAAAGATATTGTTTGATAAGCTCATAAATATATCCATGAGTGTTAGCCTCAGTGATGAATAAGAGCCTGGGTTCTTCTGCCAGCCTATGGAGCCCATTTTCTCCAGTCCATGTCAGCCTCTGGGTTGTTTCCTAGAACTTCATTCACTTTGTTCTCAAGTTCATCAGTCCATTTCTCATAAAGCTCAAGAGCCTTAATGTTCTCATCTACTTACTCAAGTCTTGTGAATCCAAGAATGACAGTTGAGATATCTTGGTTAGCAAGGCACCAAGCAAGAGAAAGTTGGGATTATGTGTAGCCAAGTTCCTTTGCAATTTCGGCTAAGCCTTAGAGCATCTTAATAGTTTTCTCTTTCTTATCTTCTGAGAAGTGAGCATTCCAAGTATCCTTGAGGAAGTCCTTGTGCTTGTCATATCTACTTCCCTCTGGAATGATTCCTTCGTTATATTTTCCAGTCAAGATACCTCCAGCTAAGGGGGACCAGATGGTGGTTCCGTATTTGTACTCAGAGAATAGTCTTCTGTACTCCTTCTCAACTAGATCTCTTCTGACCATTGAATATGATGGCTGTTCAGTAATTGGCTTGTGAAGGTTAAGTCTCTCACAGATTTCTACTGCCTTGGTAATTCTGTCAGCAGTCCACATGGAGGTTCCCCAGTAGAAAGATTTGCCTGAATCAATGAGGTAACTCATGGCTCTGCATGTCTCTTCAAGTGGGGTGTCGTAATCTGGTCTGTGGCAGAAAACAACATCAACATAGTCAAGTTGAAGTCTCTTGAGAGAGTTGTTCATACCCTCAACCAAATGTTTTCTTGATAAAAACATATCATTCACTCCATCACCGACTCTCCATAGTTTGGTGGAGACTACGATGTCTTCTCTTCTAACGTTAAGTTCTTTGAATGCTCTGCCCATCAAAGACTCAGCTGATCCTCTGTTGTAGATCTCAGCAGTATCATAGAAGTTAATTCCAAGTTCTAAGCATCTCTTGATGCTGTCTCTAGTGACTTCGTAGTTCTCCTCAGCATCTGAGTTGAGCCAGTTTCCAAAGGAAAGAGCGGAGACTTTGAGACCTGAGTTTCCGAGGTATCTATATACCATCTTGGTAGCTTTGTTCACTTCCATATCTTAGTTGACAAAAGATTCTTGTTTAAGTTTATTCTAGATTAATCTAATCACAACATTAAATATCTTAGCAATTCTGACTCATGGGGTTTTGGGGTTTTGGGGTTTTG